AACCACTGTTCCTTGAGATTCTCCTCTTCGATATCGTCTCACTTCATTTTTTCCAAAGTCAGTGACATAGAGAGATCCATTCTCGTCCATTGTCAAACCCACACAATCGATGTTGGAGATGATTGTTTCTCCACTTGTCCCATTTCGACGAGGCCATCGAACCACTCTTCTATTCGAATAATCGCATATGATGAGACTATCTCTCTCTTTGTCGATAATCACATCATATGGGTAATTCAATTGATGATCTCCACTTCCTTGTCCATTTCCACCGGCAACCACTTGGCCACTTGTTGCACCTCGTTTCCATTCCACAATACGATGATTCACTCGATCAGCAACATAGATTGTTTGATCATCATCAACATACAAACCCCATGGATATGAGAGTTGATTGATTCCATTGCCTTGTCGATTTCCTCCAGCCACAGTGATACCATTTTGTTGCCATCGAGCATTCGGATGAATGTTGGTGCTGGATGGAGAACGTAATGGATAGTCTAAAATAGAGACAAGAAAAACTATAAAATAAGAGAGAGAAATTTTCTCTTCATAGAAATTGGATTTTGTTACAAGACGAGAAACCTTTTTTAGTCAAATTCTCAACTTTATCAACAAAGATTGTTTTGTTTTAAAAGATTTTCTTGAATTCAAAATGTTTGATTGCAATTTTTTCGGTCAACCATCCATTATTTCGTTAATTTGCTTTTAGATGGGCTCTTTTTTGCATTTTTATATGCGAGTTCAATTTGATAAGATTCTTAAATAAATGGCAAGAGTGCGACATCGCTGATATTCTACTCGGGCATACATTATGATGGAAAACAGATTTATGCTTATGATCTATTTTCAATGAGAATAACAAAGAAGAGTCATTTTATGGAAAGCACAGTTCTTAGTCTCTATTCTTTATTTTCTATATATATTTTCAAAGTAAGTGTCTAATTGCAACTTTTGAATTGAATCGACATTTTCTGAATAATTGTATTGCCAATCTTATTTTTCTAGAATTATTCTACTCAAGAAGTTGTTTGAGTCGTTGAACAAACTCATGGTGAAATAAAGCATTAGCTGTGTTTTGTTTGTCAAACACTGTTATTTGATTGACATCATGGCAAATCATGAACTAATTATAAATTACACAAAACCTCTCATTGCTATTTTCTGATTTTTGACGAAAATAACCTATCAAAACTGACGGAAAAGTAGAAATTGGAGATAAAAAGCGAGACATGTTACTTCAATGATACTAGTAATTTCAAGATTACATTGGTAGTGCCTATTCTTTCATTCTACTGGCGTAGTCTTACCATCACTCTCACCAATACTCGCACTCTCGGTTAAACTTAAGATGATAAATTTCTGATTTCTCAGTTTTTTTCTATTTTGGAAATGATATGGTTGAAGAAAAGAAATAATTATCTTTATATCGAAATTTATATTAATTTTGACACGTAGATTTCGAATTTAGTAACAATTTGAGATTTGAGACTTTGTAGTTTAGACTATATGAAAGAGTAGTTGTACTGAAGTTATTAGCTTTCGTTAGCTTTAAGATACTGAGATGAAGAAAAATCAAAACATCATAAGTCCTCCATACACATCAGTCAGGCATCCACCACTATTTTTTTTTATCTGTTCAA